GGCTCTCTTTCCGAGGGAGTGACATCCAACTTCTCCAGAGGAACACATTCTGGAAAGACAAACTTGTCTTATAGCAAAAACTGCAGAAGGGTGTATGTGGCACAGGGGAAATGGTAATATTAGGTGGTCTACCAACAAAATAATTTCTAACTGAATCATTACCTGCCTTTGAACGGATAATGAATTACATTTTAAATTGTGTCTTAACATAACATGGCAACGACAGGTGTTTTGGCAGTAAGAAAGGAAAAACAAAAATAAATAATACATATTTTCACTTGCATTACCAGAAGTGGCCACTAGAGACCATGCTACCATGTTTCCCTGAAAATCATGCAGGGAGTTATATTAATTTTTGCCCCAAAAAACGCATTAGGACTTATTTTCAGGGAATGTTTTATTTTACAGTCATGTCATCTTCAGGTTGCTGCACAATGCTACACAAGGGTGGAGGGTGGGGTTTCACTTTACTGGGGCTTATTTTTAGGGTAGGTCTTATATGATGAGCATCCTGAAAAATCATATTAGGGCTTATTTTCAGGTTAGATCTTATTTTTGGGGAAACGATAAAAGTATTCACAGCATGATCTCTGGATCCCTCTAGTGGCCAATTCTGGTAATTCATGTGAAAAAACTTTTTCCCCTCCACGGCATCATTTTTTCTTTTAATATTTTTAATACTTTCAGACCGTGAATAAGTGAAAGCCGTTGATCCTGATCCTGTGGGTACAGAATCTTACTGTACATCCTTAATACTTTCAGACCGTGAATAAGTGAAAGCTGCTGATCCTGAGGGTACAGAATCTTACTGTACATCTATATATTCCCCACCCACCCAAAACAAGGGAGAGCAAGGATGCTAGGGGACCATGATTTCAACACCTCAGTAATGCAGAAAAGTCAAAATATTGCATTACTTGTATACTCCCTATTCTCTGTCCCACTTGATGAAGCCACTGAGTTGGCAAGAGTGCACCAGCCCTTAACAAGGGTCAAAAATTACGTTCTGGCCTAAGGTCTGGAGTCAGTTTGCTGAGGCAGCAGAGCTGCTAAATGGGGACTGTTGGCCAGAGCTTGCAAAAACTATTTTATTCTACAGTGGTGCCTCGCATAACGAGTGCACCATTTAACGATGAATTCGCATAGCGATCTCTTTTTTAGATCGCTAATGTGACCGCATTGCGATGGTTAGATAGGACGAAAATCGCATTGCGATGATCGGTAAGCATTTCGCTTACCAATCTTTGCATTGCGACGTTCCTAGAACAGCTGATCGGCAGTTCCAAAATGGCCGCCTGACCCCCAAAATGTCCACCGCAAGTGTTTTCGCACCCTGCCCTCGCTTACCAAGGGCGCGAAAATGGTGGCGCTATGGAGGAACTTCGCTCAACGGTGAGTTTGGGCCCCATAGGAACGCATTAAACCAAGTTTAATGCGTTCCTATGGGTTTTTCCGATCCGTTTAGCGATGGTTCCTCATACCGACGATTAATCCGGAATGGATTAACGTCGCTATGCGGGGCACCACTGTATTTTTTGAGAATGCAGCTCCCAATATGTGATGCCTGGTCCAAAACGGAGTAGGCCAGCTGCATCAACTGCCAAAGAGTCAAGTCAACCTTTCAGTAAATCCTGTCAATTCAATGGGTTGAAGTCCAATTGGGATTAAGCAGCCGGACCAAGGCCACAGAATCCGCCAGTCAGGACGTCCCACGGGCCATGTTGGCCGGTAGATTCTGGAAGTTGTCGTCCAAAGAGGCAAATGAGTGAGTCACAGTACAATGGGCTCAGCAATTATGCTCTGAAAGTTCTCTCTCTTGACTTACCTTCCTCAGGTGCACTTGACTCCACCCCCAAGTGATGCTCCTGAGGATCTTCCTTAGGCTCAGGGGAGGTTTGATATTTCAGACTGCAGTCCTTTGGCCCATTTTCTTCTGCCCCTTCTCCAGGGACTCCGCTGGGAAGAAGCACAAGAACAACATACTCATGACGTTAATCTGGGGAGATACAGCCGCTTAGCACCTCTTTGTGGATGGTTCTCAGCATGAAGGCAGTTTCCCACAGGAGGAGTGGTGGAGTGAGAAAAATCTGGCTTCTTGGTTGACACACCTGAAAATTCTAAATACTGCATGATCTAGAGCCGTGGTTCTCAACCGGGTGTCCCCAGATATTCTTGGACTGCAATTCCCAGAAGCCTTCACTCCTTGCTGTGTTGGCCAGGGTTTCTGGGAGTTGCAGTCCGAGAAAATCTGGAGACCCCAGTTGGAAAACCATGGTTCTAGAGCAGTGGTCCCCAACCTTGGGCCTCCAGATGTTCTTGAACTTCAACTCCCAGAAATCTTGGCCAGCAGGGGTGATGGTGAAGGCTTCTGGGAGTTGTAATCCAAAAAATCTGGAGGCCCAAGGTTGGGTGCCACTGCTCTGGAGCACAGGATGTGAACATCGTTTCCCTCTCCTAAATTACAGAACAGGTGCTTTGCAAAGTTTTTAAAAAATTGAAATGTTTAACACAGGTTAGTATCAAAGCCATCAAACTCTGGAGGTGACCCATCCCCTGTCACTACAGAACAGGGCTGCTCTCTCAAGCTCAGATTCTGCAAAGTCCGCTAAATGGCAACGTCTTTTACGTGACCACTAGCAATGGCCCTCTATCGGCAGACATTCTTCTAGAGCTGCTGTTCTAGAAGAGGCTAGCAGCACAAAGGAGTAAATATTTGTACTAGCAGGACAAAGGAAGGGATGAGTTTGGCTGCCTAGAGAGAAGATCTTTGTCAGCCTGAAAGGGTGTCTGATCTCAGCCCACGGTGCCCCACGAAGGCAGATCAATTCGGGCAAGTGGGTAAGAGTCGTTCCAGGGAGAACGGGAAGATTTTTTAAGAGAACGTGGAGAACATTTAGCAGAAGGGTCCATACCTGGCGCAGTTCACAGGACTCCAGACGAGGTTGGGCGACAGGAATACGTTGGCTCGGGACGGGCTCATCGGTTTCACTCGGTAGGCAGCCAAGCCCTCCAGAGGCTTGAAGACAAAGTTCTGAGGGGCAAAGGACCGCGTTCTCCTGGACAGGGCAGGGCCCGGGATATGAGAAGGAGGCAGGTTTTCTTTCTCAGGGAAAGCCTCGTGCGGCTCAGGGCTTGCCCTCGACTGGACTGTCACTTCTTCCATGGGTGGCAGCGCCAGTGGGTTCTCTTCCATCTCACACACCTGTGACAAAGAAGGTAGTCTCTTTTTCCCCAAAAAAATTGTTCACTATTTTTATGGCCAATGACAAGCAGGCCTGGTGCCACCCCTCTTAGGCCACAGGAACACTTGGAGCAAAGGGGAAGAGAGATACACCAACCTCTCCCCCTTTCCTTAAGCACAGCAGCAGGCAACGATGAATACAAGCAGTGGCTTCCAATAGATGCCGTTGCCCTTAACACGGAGACATTAATCAACAGGAATCTCGATGTGATTGCAACGTTGTGTTCACATGCTTTTTTGGATTACTGTTCTTCTGTTGCACATCACTTTGAGCAGATTGGATGGGAAAGTGGCATATAAATTGTAAGTGGCCAGGCTCCCAAGACGACTAGCAAAAAGATAGAGAGCCTCAGGCCTTTTGGGGGCTGAATGCAGGCAGTTTTCCCACCCCGGATTTCCCATGCTACCTTCACTCAGTGTTTCCCCAGCTTTGGTAGGGGGTTGTTTCATTCGAAAAGACTGAAATGTCTCCCTGTAGGCTTGCCTAATGTCAGAAAGATCTTCAAGATAAACTATGCAGATATTTGGCGACTCACCCTTTTGCCTTTACCCACCACTGAAAAGCAGCCCAGAAGACCTCCAAAACTGCATTCAGCCCTCAGAAAGGTTCCCCACCTTGAACGTTTGGGGAGGCCTTCCATCACTCTATACACTTCATAGCTGCCCGATTGAACACCACCTCAGCAGTTTCCCCATCAATTCTGATTTTATGTCCTGAGGTGCGGACGCAGAAAATAGTCAAGCGGTTAACAATGCTGAGACGAGCTGTCCCCAATTTTCTGGCGCGCCTGCAAGGAAGGAGCTTCATGGTGCAGAGATTAAACTGCAGTAATGTTGAGACGAGCTGTCCCCAATTTTCTGGCGCCCCTGCAAGGAAGGAGCTTCACGGTGCAGAGATTAAACTGCAGTACTGCAGTGAGGACTCTGCTCACAGACCGAAGTTTGATCCCAACAGGCTGAGGTAGCCGGCTCAAGGTTGACTCAAACTTCCATCTTTCCAACGTAGGTAAGTTGAGTAATCAACTTGCTGCAGGGGAGAGGGGGGGCAATACATAACCCGAATAATTCAATCCTCCCTGTAGGCTTGCCTAATGTCAGAAAGATCTTCAAGATAAACTATGCAGATATTTGGCGACTCGCCCTTTTGCCTTTGCCTTTACCACCACTGAAAAGCAGCCCAGAAGACCTCCAAAACTGCATTCAGCCCTCAGAAAGGTTCCTCACCCTGAACGTTTGAGGAGGCCTTCCATCACTCTACACACTTCATAGATGCCTGATTGAACACCACCTCAGCAGTTTCCCCATCAATTCTGATTTTACATCCTGAGGTGCGGACGCAGAAAATAGTCAAGCGGTTAACAATGCTGAGACGAGCTGTCCCCAATTTTCTGGCGCGCCTGCAAGGAAGGAGCTTCATGGTGCAGAGATTAAACTGCAGTAATGTAGTGAGGACTCTGCTCACAGACCGAAGTTTGATCCCAACAGGCTGAGGTAGCCGGCTCAAGGTTGACATAAACTTCCATCTTTCCAAAGTAGGTAAGTTGCTGCAGGGAAGGGGGGGCAATATACATCCTGCATAATTCAATTATAAGCCACCCAGAGAGTGTTTTAAGCACTATGGGGCAATATATAAGTGGCATTCTTTGTTTTTGCTTTTATACTGTTGGCTTTTTCTTCTACTGTATCACCTACCACAGAGGGTTATTGACCATCAACACAACTGTATGAAGTTGTAATGTAAAAAAAAATTACGGAAGTTAAAAATACAAAACTTACCGCGGCCCCTTTGTCTTTGACACCTCTTTGCTGCCTCCCTTTATTTACACCTTGTGGTGGATTACCTGGAACGGGATATATAAAGTATTACTTGAATTTTTGGCCACCGATCTTCAGTCTGCCGCACCAATACAAAAGGGAGATAAGTTTTAATAAAGTCATCCAGAGGCTTACAGGATTAGGAGCCGTGGACTGAAAGTTTAATTAGACAACGCTTCAGACAAAGAAAAGATAAAGCCAGGCTGAATGCTGGAGAGAGTTAGCTTTCCACCACTTGACTCACCTATAGCTGCAGCCGGCCTTGAAACCTGTGGTATTTTGGTCTTCGCAGCTGCTGCTCCTCTTGTGATTCTTCCATTGGGGATGGTGGAGGCTGGACGCTGTACCTCTGAAAGTGAGGTGGGAAACTTTAAGTTGTGCCTGCTTAAAACCCTCTGCAGTATATTTTGAAAGTTCTTTTTAAAAACATCAATCACACCATTCAATCCCTACCTACTCAGAATTACATCCCATAACATTGAAAGGGATTTCACTGCAATGGATAGGGAAGTATGGGAGATCAAGGGACACTGAGGCTGGGGATTTCTGTGTTTTGCCAAAAGTAGCAGAACACATTTGTTGGAAGAAAAGATCTGTATGCAAGAAAATATACTAAATTTCGGCTGTACCAGAGTAAAGGCCCTCACAAAAAGGATGAGCAGTCTAAGGCAGAAGCAAAATGGATTATATACGCTGTGGAATAAAACAAGTGGCTTGTATAAAGCAATCCCCTTGCTAGCAGAGCTAGATCTAACTGCAAATCTGGTAAAGGTAAAGGTTTCCCTTGACACTGAATCCAGTCGTGTCCGACTCTAGGGTGCAGTGCTCATCCCTGTTTCCAAGCTGTAATAGAGCCAAAGTTTGTCTGTAGGCCGCGGTGCTCATCTCCGTTTCCAAGCCGTAATAGAGCCAAAGTTTGTCCGTAGACCGTTTCCATGGTCACGTGGCCGGCGTGACTAGACACGGAACGCTGTGACCTTCCCACCGAGGTGGTACCTATTTATTGACTCGCATTTTTACATGCTTTCGACCTGCTAGGTTGGCGGGAGCTGGGACAAGCGACGGGAGCTCACTCTGTCGTGTGGATTTGATCTTACGACGGCTGGCCTTCTGACCCTGCAGGACAGAGGCTTCTGTGGTTTAACCCGCAGCGCCACCACGTCCCTATCTGGTACCAGACCTTAAAGACATTTGGGGGCAGGGGGACTACAGCTCAAGAATCCACCAGCAAATATGGCCTCTCAGCATTCCGGTTGAAACAGCCAGGAAAAGGGGGAAAGAGACTCTTTAGAGACTCTATGGACTTTATCATTCCATCCCAGATTACTGTCTTCAAAACGATTATGAAATTGTTGGCTAAAATTCCCACAAAGCCCAGAGGCTCTGAAAGTGGCAAAACAGGGATATCACCATCACCAAAGCTTTAGAAAGTTACTCTTTTGGGCCGACAACTCCAGGAAACCCTCTGCCACGATAGTCACTGCCCATAGGGTGGGGGACTCTTAAAACCATATATATAATCTCTCTGTCTCTCTCTCAGGAGGTGTGTGTGTAAAAGCCACTTCCAGATCTGTCTTGAGAGCTCTGGGTAATTAGAATTATTTCATTGAGATCTCTCCGGATAAGAGAAATGGGCAGAACTTGGAAAAGTCCACAGGCTCTTTTTCTAAAACAAGTCCCAAAATGCATACAAAGCCTCAGATCAATTTTACAGCAGCTGAAATCCTGCTTATCACGCACAGTAACTAGAGTGAGCCCATTTCAAACAATGGGACTTACAGAGGAGCTGACTCACTGATTCAATGGGACTACTCTAGTTGTGGTTTGCTACAGTAAGCCACAGAATTTCAGCCAGCGGTTCAGCCCATAGATTCCGCACCTTTTGGCTCTTCAGATCATTGGGATCTGTTCCAGCCCCTGGAAGCCCTGTGCCAGCGTGAATTGCAGTCAGGGCATCTGATAACTGAATTCCAAAACGTCTGGAGTCTCAAAGCCTAAGCAGTGGGTTGTTTTTTTTTCAAATCTCAAGATGGAGAAATCATACCTTTGCTCTCTTTTTTGAGAGTTTTGTCTATGTAGATCTGCTTCTGCTGAGCTGCTTGCGACACACTTTTGCTGGCGTACTTGGGGATCTTCTGCAGAGAGACATCAAGAAGCCATTTCAAAACTCTTTACAAAAGCACACACTTGAGGGTTCAGGTCGCTCTGCAGTCCGCAGCTAGGTAACAAACTGACCGTAACAAGATGATGACTTCTTCAGTTATAGACCGTTTTAGTCTTTCCTTTGCAAAACTGCCTGCTTAGTCACCTTGTGTTGCTTACTGCAGAAAACAATGATTTCCAAGCATCCTTTAAGCCGCTGTCCTCAAATAACAACTGCCCTGAGAACTGCTAATTCATCAAGATTAACCCAAAGCGAAGGTCTCAATTCTATACAAAAACACACATTCTTGTACCATTTCATCCAAGATCTGCATTCTGAGAATGACATATTTACATTTTCCTTGTTTTAAAATCAATGAAGTCAAAATAAGAAAAATCAGATTTCTCGTAGCACTTTGAAGTCTATTTTTTCGTAAGCTTTTGCATGTCCAGGAACACTTCTTCAAATGAATCGAGTGGCTCTGTCACTGGGGGAAGTTTAAAACTGTGGTCAGGGAGCATGTGTTAGGCAGTGATGAATTCCAGCACAATGAGGGTGGTTAGGTTTGTTACACGCTGTGTAACAAAGGCCCAGATGGCTGGATTAATATCTGTAATGAACAGGAAATCATTATACAGTATTTGTTAAGGTCCAGAGAGTGTGTATACACGTATACCTGTTTGGTGGTCTCCATTTGGAATCTGTCCTTGAACTATCTTAGTTTTAAGTGAAAATCTGAGGTCAAAGAAAGAGAGTCCAGTTTGAGAGTCCGGTTTGCAAAGCAGGGACCAAACATTGTCCAGCGAAATTCCCCCATAGGAATCACTGTTTTGCGATTCGCTATAGCGATCACAAAAAGTCACTGTCTAGCGAAAAAACTGTCATGCGGGGGTAACTGTCTAGCGAGGCAGCACTGTATAGCAAACACTCTTATACAGTAATAGCAAATGCTGTATTATACTGTACATTCCATGGTCTCTGGCTCCCACTAGTGGCCCATTTTGGTAATGGCACCATAGAAATATATATTATTTTCAGGAATTTTTTTAATATTTTCAGATTGTGGATAAGTGATTCAGTGGACATTGATCCTATGGACAAGGGGGTCCTACTGTACTCTATACCTTGCTATAAATCATGAATCTCTTAATGATACATATGCAATTCACCACTTCTAGTGTAAGAAAGAAGAAATAAGGAAAAATGGTTCTCAGCTAATAGAAAGGCCCACCCATTGACCAGCCTGATACTCAATAGAAGCACAGCAAGCATTTGCAACAAGGAAGACATCAAAACAAAAGCAAAACACACCTCTCTGGCTTAAAGGTCAATGCCCCACCTCTATCAGTCAACTTTTTCTATTTAACACTCAAATAATAAGGAAAAAATGAAAGACAAACCACAGGAAGCTGAGGTCTAACCGGTTCTTGCAACTGGTTCTTTGCCTTTGATCTTGTTACTCTTACGGATGGTACTTCCTAAGAGACAAAAGTGAAGAGATTTCCCATCCCCATTGGTTACATGTGATAGCTTTAGCAATATAAGCTACATCCTAACCAGCCAGGCAAGCAGCTCCTAACCTTGGCTCCCCAGATATTACTCGGATGCAACTGAAACCCTAAAGAATCCATGATCCTTGGCCATGCTGCCTGGGGAGTCTACATATTGAGGGATGAGGGACTCACGAGTTGTCAGTCACTGTCGAGTCCAATTTCAGTCGCTAAAACTGTTTAATCCTTTTTTCAATATTTGCATACTCACTGTTTTTAGGTTTTAAGCATTGTCTTTGAATTGCTGTAAGCCGCCTTGGGTCCTTTTAAGGAGAAAGGCTGGGGTAAAAATATTTTAAATAAATAAAATTAATTGATTTGGACACGACCCTGGGGTTTCTGCCTCTGTGCCTACACCGGCTGATCAGCTGGGCGACAAGGGCTTGGACAGAGGCTGCAGCTGGCTTCTGAAAGGGATGCTGGCCCGCTGACTCTATGCATGCATGTATGCCATCTTGGCTTCCCTGTCTGTGCATTTGCCCGCTTGGGCCCAGTCCATTGCCCCGAGACTCAGGCCTGAAGACTTGCCCACACCCCTGATTTAGGTATGACCTATGAACTAAGCCCGTCTGAATGACACCAAAGAAACTACAAAGAAGTGAAGCCACTCGTACAGTGGTCGACGGTTTCCTCTCCTTTCCTTTGGTCAGCACCGGGATCTGTGATGCTTTCGGGAGGAAGGAAGGACCTTCCGGTTGGAATCGTCCACATTTAAATATAGGCTTCTCTCTCTGCTCTTTCAACTTCCGAAGTTCTTTTTCAGCTTTGTAACGTTGGAGCATTTCAAGGCGCTCCTGGCCCCGAGTCTTAGCTGTAGCATTTGAGAGCTGACCTGCATGGGAAGAGAGGGGGATGGGGGGGATAATATAACTCTCTCCATTAACTTAATTAGAACAACCTAGGTCTGTCCATGGAGTAGGGACATGGAAACGCAAAGGTTACCAGCGCGTGATAACTGAGAGGTGGCCACTTTGCGCTTTGTACACCGTTACCAGCGCGTGATAACTGAGAGGTGGGTGCTTTGCACAGCTTCCTACGAAGCACTCAGTATGGGGCCATAGATGCCGTGCTGGCCCATTTTCCAACCCCCCTGGCTGGCTGGCCCATTCACTCTTCCGCCTCCTCAGGCAGCTGACCCCACATCGTTTCCCCCATTCCATCTCCTTGTGGTCGGCTGCCCGAGGAGGCGGGGCAGGGCTGGCCAGGCTCCTGCTTGGATTGGAGTGCCACCATAGAAGGAGGACCCCCTGGCGGCACTCGAAATCTAGTGAGTGGCTCATCCGGCTGTGGGGAGGAGAGACGGGTCAGCACCCGAGTGCTTCATACAAAGCTGTATGAAACACCATCTCTACTGACCATCTTTGTCAATTTTCCTATGACACAGCTACATAGAATTTTTTTCACTTGAAAATAAATTGTAACAAAAAACATGGGCCATTTTCAAAGACATGTAATCATTGGGCTACATCCAATTTTAGCATCAAAAGAAAAAGCAAACCACTCAATAAGCACCCAAATTTAAGCAGGACAAGGGTGAGAAGATCTACCGTATTTTTCGCTCCATAAGACGCACCTTTCCATAAGATGCACCAATTTTTTAGGAGAAGAAAACAGGAAAATATAATCTGTTTTCTTCCTCCATAAGACGCACAGACTTTCCAACCCCATGTTTTGTAGGAACTCAATAAGCACCCAAATTTAAGCAGGATAAGGGTGAGAAGATCTATATCACACCACACATGGGTCTTCACTTACTGGGCTTTGCACTGCTCTTTGGTGAGTGTACTTCACCGGACTCATCCAGCCGAGAAAGCTCCCTGTCTCTTGCTGCCTGCGTGTTGACATCCACGGGGCCAAACTGCCGACCTCTGTTGAACTCCTTGTGCCTGCTCTCTTTCTGCAAAAGAGATTTCCGGCGGACAATTTTCGCCTTGAGGGTCTGAGTACTCAGGTCCTTTTTATATCGAGTAGTATAATTGCTCGCCATCTTCTCTGTTTTAGATATGACGTGGAGGTGACAAGGTTTGCCTGCCTCTACCAGATAAAACCTGAGAAGGAAAAAAATAAACGTTGAGTTTAATTTACTTTTGTGTGTGTGTAGAAACGACATTCCCTTCATGATCCTCCACGCAAAAAAGCCCCCCACCAATTCCAATTAAATACCCTAACCTCACTTATCTCCGTAATTGGGTTCATTGACAAATTTGGGCAATTCTTCATCTTATAAATGAAATGACAATAACGGTGTATCTTAAACATATTTTTATTAACTGTATCAACTTGATGTTTTCTTATTGCATCATTATTAACATCAAATGATAGGTTTTCAAGAGAACAATCCAACAAGGGCTTGGGCCCTGGATACCTGAAGGACAGCCTCCTTCCATATGAGCCTACCCGGCAGTTAAGATCTAGCCAGGGGTCCTTTTCAAAGAGCTGTCCCTCAAGGGGGTAAGAGGGATGGCTGGTAGTCTTTTCGGCAGCTGCCCCCAGACTATGGAATGCCCTCCTGACTGAGATTCATCTGGCGCCGACTCTGATGACATTTCGGCGCCAGGTCAAAACCTTCCTGTTCCAGAAGGCTTTTAATTGAAATAATATCAACTGTGGGTCCTGATGGCAATTTTCAGAGTATATATTTTAATTGCATTTGAATTGTTTTGTCTTTTTGTTGTATTTTAAATGTAGTAAGCCGCCCAGAGACCTTTGGGTAGTTAAATCGACATATACCGGTAAGTTAAATAAACAAACAAACAAATATAATGACTTATTTGAGGCTTCTTCTAAGAGCGTTAGCCTTTCGAAAACTTTTCCTGGTCGCTGGGGTTCCCTCAGGTGGCCGCTGCGGAACGCACGTATGGTCCCGCAACACGGGTGTCGGGACCATTCGCCTTCCCTTGGCTTCTCATTCTACCGAAGAGGTTTGGGACGGCTCACCAAGACCTCGTCCCTGTGGGAAGACTAACACTCTCCATTCTTCAGGATAAAGTCCTTCAATTATCCGTTTTATTTCTACTTTCTTCTCAACTTCCTCCTTTGCACTGGACCCTATTCTTTATATCCTTTTTCGGTGTTTTAAATACCTTAAGCTCACCACCACCTCTGCTGGCCAGGATTTCTGGGAGTTGAAGTCCAAGAACATCTGGAGGCCCAAGATTGGGGGACCACTGCCTTAACATCATCGGGTTCCTTCCCTTCCCAGTTCTCCTCAGCTGCTGCCACTTTCTCCGTTTCTCTCGACCGCCTGTTTTCTTGCGTTGTTAAGAAAATGTTTATTCCCTGTCGAACCCTTCGAGACTCTTCCCTCTTTTCTCTCGCTCCTAACCCTTTCAACCCTTCACTGCTGTCGCCTGTTCCTGTCAGTGGTCCCCAACCTTGGGCCTCCAGATGTTCTTGGGACTTCAGATCCCAGAAATCCTGGCTGGCAGAGGTGGTGGCGAAGGCTTCTGGGAGTTGTAGTCCAAGAACATCTGGAGGCCCCAAGGTTGGGGGACCACTGCTAACTATCCCTTCCACAATATTTCCTCGATCCCTTTTTCGGTTCCGTGTGCCTTCATTTCTTTTTCCTCTGTCCCTTCATCCGTCGTCTAAGAACATCTGGAGGCCCCAAGGTTGGGGGACCACTGATAACTATCCCTTCCACAGTATTTCCTCGATCCCTTTTTCCCTTCATCCGTCGTCTCCCTTTTCAGGCGTTTCTGTTGAGGCGAGGGCATACTCGCTTATTTGTTGCCTCTTCTGCTCACCACCTCGGAAGCCCTCAGAGGGTCGCTGTCAGCCAATGCTGACGGGACAGCACGGAGGCCCCAAGGTTGGGGGACCACTGATAACTATCCCTTCCACAGTATTTCCTCGATCCCTTTTTCCCTTCATCCGTCGTCTCCCTTTTCAGGCGTTTCTGTTGAGGCGAGGGCATACTCGCTTATTTGTTGCCTCTTCTGCTCACCACCTCGGAAGCCCTCAGAGGGTCGCTGTCAGCCAATGCTGACGGGACAGCACAGAAGAACCACAACATGGCGTTTTCGATCCCCAGTGTGGTGTGGTGGGCAAGAGTCCCGGGTTCGAATCCCGCCTCAGCCCCCAAAAGTGCCTGGGGATGGGCTAGAACTGGTCGAAACCGCTCCTTAAACGCCTCACTCGCCTTGAAAGCCCTGTTTAGGGTCAGTTCTGACCGGACAGCCCAGAATTATCCCCTCCCCGAGAGTCCTTTCGATGCTCGGTGTGGTATCTAAATATCGTGACAAAAAAAAGCCAAGCCTGGCTACAGGCCCACAGATGCCCTTATTACCAGAAATCGTTTTTTAAAATAAAAAAACGACCACTTTCCCAGAAAATCCTAACTGGCACGGAAACGGGCACATTTGGGACGGGATACTCGGGGTGGGGGAGGGGAAGCGGCCCAGAAAAAGTAACTTCTCCCCATCTCTCCTCCTCTCCTCTCTTCCCCCCCCCTTCCCCGGATTCTGCTTCGTTCCTACCGTGAGGCCTGGTCTCCGGCCTTCCCTTCGCACCTCCGCCTCCCTGGTTGGCTCTCAGGGCCCGATTGGAAGCGCCGAGCGGGCGAGCGAACGGCCTCCGCCTCAGCTCGGATTCAAATTTTAGCGGCCGCCGCTGATTGGCCGGCGGGGACGGCCTTTCCAGGCTCCCATTGGGCGCCCTTTCCCTAGCCTTGACGCCCAGCTCGCCAATTAGCTGGTGGCTTCCGGACTTCCGTCTCGCGTTCTCCGCCTCTGACGCCGCGTCTTTTGCGCCTTCATCCCGCCTCCCGGGCCCCTCATTGGATCCTCAAAACAGTTCCGGCATTGGATGCCCCGCTGGGTATTTTTCCCGACCGTTCTACTCGGGATGTTTACCATAGAGATACCATAAAGTAGTCCTTCGGAGGTGGTGGGCTAGATAGTCCTTCGTGGCGAGGTAACCTGGCCCTTTTGATTATGTTGTAGAGTGAACTCTGAATCTAGCTAATATGTATCTATCTACTTTTTCTAAGTCTATATTCAGAAAAACAGGAAGAGGGCGGAATTCCAAAACGAAGGAACCGGAAGTTGCTCAAAGCTTTTCCCACGCGGCTTGTGTTCATGAGAACAAGTTCCGGGCAAGTTTACCTTCGAGGAGTCTGATTCTTTCGCCAGTTGGAACAGCCGTTATTCCCGGTAGGTGGATTTTGAAGGAAGGAAAAGGGTTCTCGGTGGTTGCCTTCTTAAGATTCCCGTGAACGAAAGTTTGGGATTCTGACATTACAATCCTACACGTGTCTACTCAGAAGGAGGTACGCCCTATTGTTCCTAATAGGGTTTTCTTCCGAGGAGGAGTAAGTTACATACAAATTTAAAAGTTCCGAAAAAATAGGGAAGGGGGAAGACTTTTTTTCTTGAAAAAAATGGAAATTGCCCGAAATTTTACAACCTAGAGATGTAAAATGTCCGGATATTTCCACCATCACCACCCCCGAAAATAACCGGGAAAACATGTGTGTGTTTTTTTTTAAAGAAATGGAAATTTCTGAAAGTTTTACAACCTAGAGTTGTAAAATTTCCAGAAATTTCCAAATTTTTTCCCTAGGAAAAAAAAAGGAAGTTTTCAAAGATTTTACATCTCTGTTTACATGTCGTATTGGAGCCTAGCCTGACATGTAGAAGACTTTCTGTAAGTTTGTCCTCTTCCATAAGGTTTCGTGGACTGCAACCGGAGTTGATAAAAATCAGTGACTTTTTAAAAAAAATAGCAAAGTGATTTAAATCACAATTTAAACTTAAAAAGTTGAGTTTTTAATTTGAAACCTCAAAAATATTCATTTTTTTAAAAAAAATTAAATCGTAATTCAAATCAATTTAAATCAAATCCACCTGAACTGTAGGGCACCTTTTCAGAAATCAGAATTTCAGAACTTCTTTGGAAGTGGCCTGTAGTCCACGAAAGCTTTATTAAAAGCTAAATTAAACTTCCTTTCCATTACTGTGGCTGAAAAGTCACTGTTTTTTTCCCCCTTTTAACAAGAGACTAACATACCAGTTGATCTGGAAATATGGGGGTTGCTCCTCCACCACATACACGTAGACACACAATTTGCTTGTTTCCTGCTAGTTATTCTAATCTTTCCCTATTATTTTATTTATTTAGAATATTTTTACCCAACCTTTCTCTTTCAAAAGGACCCAAGGCAGCTTACATCATTGAAAGACAATATTTAAAGTGAGAAAGATGAGTATGAAGAGGAAGTTTACATAATTAAAAGACAATGTTAGAGCTAAAGCAATAAGTATGCAAATACAAAAAAAATATACCGCTTTGAGAGATGGTAAACACAAGTAATACTGCAAGTCAGAGCAGCAATGCATAGCAGTCCATTCTAGTACAGTATTTTAAATTGTAAGCTTAACAGGAAAAGCTAGGCTTGAATAAATCAAATTGTTTGTTGGCAGTAATAATTCTGAGTGGAAGTGTCTTTCCATTTTGGGTGGAGAAGCATCGTTCCTATCATCTGCTCCAGGTTTGTCCTAGGTGTTCTAGGCTTGTGACTGAAATTATGACCTTGTTTGCACGGTGTGTACATGGCCTTAGAGCTGCCATGCCTCTAAAGTCTTTACCTGATTAACTGAAACTCTTAAGAACTATTGTAATTAGAGATGGGATATTCGTACACAAATACCCTGGACCCAGGTGGCTGGTGTCCCTAACTGTAATTAGACGTGAGAGATTCGTCTTTTGTCTCCTGGGGGAGATGAAGACGAATCTCGTCGGCACAGGTGGCCGACCCAATTAACACCCACCCCCAGAACCTGCGCGTATGCCCATTGTTGTCAACAGCATGCCAATCGCAGCAGTAGCCGAGACCAGTTGCCCCAGTCTCCCTGCTAAGCTGGACGCTCAGCAGCTGAACGGGGGAAACTATCATCCTGCACCCTAACCGGGGGCTGGCGGAACAGGGAGGTGGGGCCGTACCAGCCAAGTTACTGCCGCGATTCATGTGATGCCAGTCACAACAGTGAGCAGTAAGTCGACTGGTGGATTCTGTTGGTGGCAGTTAATCAGGCCAACCGCTTGTACTGGTGAGATTCATCTTTGTCTCCCCCTGGGGAGAAAAATATACATCTTCCATGTCTAACTGTAATCCTTTTCAAGGAACAGGATAGATTTGGTTTAAATCAGATTTTAAACCATGATTTTAAAAAAATTAATTTGATTTTTTTTTGATGATTTAAATTTTTAATTAAAATTTAAAATTTAATTAAAATTTAAATCACCACTGAATTTTGGATCCGAATCATGATTTAAATCAATTTTATTTAAAAATAATCGTTGATTTTTATCCACTCTATCCAAGATCACAGTGGAGAGTCGATAATTGAATTATATCCGACCTCCTCTCTTGAAAACAACCTCAAACCTTTATCAATTTTGAATACTTCTGTTAAAAAAAGAAAAACCAGACACAGCATAATTCACTTCTGATCAAAGAGCTGGATTTTTTAAAAGTTCCTGATATCACAGCAGAATAATTTTCTGCTCATCTCTATGGTAGTATATTTTTGGATAGTGTGTCACCACACTGCTGATTCCTGGAAGTTAGGTGTGTTATCTTTGAATAAATACTTAGTACAGTACCTGGTCTAACTATTGGTCCATGCCTAGCCCATTCCTGCTTTCTACTGAGGCAGACTTCACAATTTGGTGCTGTCCAGATATGTTGAACTACACTTCCCATCACTTGTTGCCAGATCCTTCAAAGTGGAGAAATGCCAGGTGTTGAACCTGGAATATTCTGCAAGAACAACACGGGGGCAATATTATGAGTCCTTTCCATAAATTTCCTTGAGTGTTTTTTTTTAATTGCTGTATTCAATTCGATTATGAGCCTGTGGCTAGGACCTGTCTCATCTCTTGATATTTTTATATGTTAGAAAACATTAGTTGGTTTACATATGTTATTTATTGCATTTACCTGTCTCATCTCTTGATATTTTTATATGATAGAAAACATTAATTGGTTTACATGTTATTTATTTTATTTATTGCATTTATACCCCGCCCATCTAGTCAATTGACTACTTTGGGCGGCTTCCAACATATATAATAACAATATAAAACATAACAAGATTTCAGACACCAGAAGACAAGTTATTCAACATGGAAAAAGATAAGGAGAGAAAAAAATCAAGTACTAACTGAAGGGAAGGCCTGCCTAAACATCCAAGATTTCAATGGGAAGGCCTGCCTAAACATCCAAGATTTCAGTGGGTTTTTTAAGATGCCCAGCGAAGGGGCTGCACAAATCTCCGGAGAAAGGTTATTCCAGAGGCAAGGAGCTATGTTACATGATGATGATGTGTTCATATTACTTGCCAGCCTGCCACATGACCAACCAGGATAACTAGCAACTAGCTTTTAAACTCCAGTTAAGATCACAAATTGCAAACATCTAAAATCACACTTGTCATCTCTAAAATTAAATGTAATCACAGCTCTCCGCTAAAAATATATTAAAAGTAGCACAAACATACTGCGGTCAGAAACCAAACCTGTATGCCTGCTTATACTGCGGAAACCTGTGTAATAGATAGGATTTAAGGAGTGTCTTGAAGGCAAAAACGTAAGGGGAAAGTGGAAAGGAGTGGTAGTGATTAAATACATCATAGGATGTTTTTCTCTTTGATGATTTATATCCAGGAGAAGAAGAAGATGGTGCGCAAACTGAAGTTTCATGAGCAAAAGCTCCTCAAGAAGTTAGATCTAATCAACTGGGAAGCTTCTGCCGGCAACCTTGCTGAGTTGCGTGTTATCCGTCGCTTCCACTTGCAGCGCAGGGAAGATTACACGCGCTACAACCAACTGAGCCGAGCCGTTCGGGAGTTGGCTCGCCGCATCAGAGACCTGGGGGATGCCCCAGAGTCAGCAGCTTTCCGGGCTCGGAGTACCTCCGCGCTCCTGGAGAAGTGTTATGCCATGGGGCTGATTGCTTCCAGAAGCTCCTTGGAGATTTGCGACCGTGTCTCGGGGTCTTCCTTCTGCCGCCGGCGCCTGCCTTGCCTGCTTCTGAAGCTGCGCATGGCCCAGAATCTGAAATCGGCGGTGACCTTTGTGGAGCAAGGACATGTGCGGGTGGGGCCGGAGGTCGTGACAGACCCGGCATTTTTGGTGACCCGGGCCATGGAGGACTTCGTCACCTGGACGGACTCCTCTCGTATACGCCAGCATGTGCTGAACTACAACCAAGAACGGGATGATTTTGACTTGGCCTGTTAGGAAGAATTTGACTTTCCCATGTGGACTGCTTTAAGGAGAAAGGCGGGGGTTAAGAAGTTTTTTAAAAAACATGTATAACAAATAAATATGCCTGAAAGCCTGGTCTCACCATTTCTGAAGTTGGAAGGTTTGTCGTTGTGTACAGTGGATCCTCTACTTAAGGAATTAATCCGTATTGGAATGGTGGCTGCAAGTCGAAAAGTCTATAAGTCGAATCTCCATTGACCTACAATGCACTGAAAACCGATTAATCCCATAACCAGTGGTTTTTATTCTATTTTTATTCCATTTTGGTTTTTTTCTGGTCTGTAAGTCGATTCTCTGGCTGCAAGTCGAATCTAAATTTTGCGGCCAGAGAAGTCTGTAACTCGAAAAGTCTGTAAGTCGAGCTGTCTGTAAGTCGAGGGTCCACTGTAGTTGTTAAGTCGTGCCCGACTCTTCGTGACCCCATGGAGCAGAGTATGCCAGGCTCTGTTGTCTTCCACTTCCTCCCAGAAGATTGCGCCCTGTCATATATGGATTGTCCGTCATTTTGACCGCACATAACTCATGGTTGCTTAGAGCGCTGTTTGTGTTACTTTCTTAATTTTTCTGATCATTGGTCTCTCCTAACTGATCAATGGAAATCCATCTTTTATGTGTCATGCTTTTTAAATATAGGATTTGTTTTAATGGCAATATTGCCTCCAGGTGCCTTGCAAGACGACAGACAGAATGGCTGTATGATTCATATCACCGTGGACTTACAGTATCCACCAGAGGGAGAATAAAGTGGGCAGAAAGTTGTCTGAGCCAGCTTGCCAAACAGACATGGCGTGAGCAGACTGGTGGTAGGCTTTTTTTCAGGACCACATTAGACGTTCAATAACTGGATTAAATTTGACATGCACACACACCCAGAAAAACACAACCCCAGATCTTGATCAATCTCGAACGCTTTAATTAAAAAATATATAGTAATACAGAAAAGCTTTATCATTCAGGTCTGATCAAGAGTTGGACTGCTGCCAGCTGCAAACCCACACTTCTTTCAAGACATCTTAATTTCTCTCCTCCTGGCACTGCAGCAAAATGATTTTTCTGTTTGTCTCTATGGTAACGTGTTCCTTGATACTGGAGGAACAGTGACTGCAGTGGTGAGCTCCCTGGCTAGTGCTCCAATCTCTGAATCAGCACATTGAATATTCACACATTTCCCCTCCTCTTCAGGTTCTCTGGCCTTCCCAGCGTGAAGGAAATAAAACGTTGCTGTGGTTCTATTTCTGATTTTGGACCCCAAAAGGGAGGTTCAAAATGGCTTTTACAGGGCAAGGTTACCGTTTCCTGTTTCCAACCTCGTTCTGTTTTGTATCCTCTCTCGGAAAAATAAGTTTGCCCTCAGCTTCGGCAAGTTTGACACAAACGACTATGTGCTTTCCAAAAACTATTAATAAACTGCATGTTTTAATCTTGGATGCTGGACAAAAGAGCTGCAGTTCCCAGAATCCTCCCTCAGCCTGGCCACTGTCTATTCATTCCATACAGTCTAATCTATATTGTCACTATACGGATTGTATCAGGTGACAGCCAGTCTCTTAGCGGTGTGGACCAAGCTGATAATCAGCAGGGAAATTTATTGAAGCTGTGGTGCAGCGAATCTGAAGAGTGCCAGCTTGGCAAGGTGGGTTTCACCTTCAAGATGCTGCAAGACCTTGTCATATCTGGATAGTTCTGCATTCCTGCCTAAATTATTTGCTTTTATAACCAACTGCTGCCAATTTTATGGGATGAGCATAGTAATAGTATGCTTTAAAGTACTAGGGGTTTGTAAATAGATTGGCCAGCAGTGGGTTGGGGAGAAGGTTGACGGGATGTGTTTCTTGTTTGAATGCTGAGGTTGAAATTTCCATACATGATTTACCTGGGAAGAAATTAAAGTGGAATTAAAAAAAAATTAAAAACCAAGCCTGCCTGCTTCTATACTGCTCCATAGTGCTTGAAGCACTCTTTGGGTGGTTTATGTTTAATTATGCAGGCTACACATTGTCCCCCCAGCTACTGAGCTAGGTATCAATTTACCGATTTCAGAAGGATGGAAGGCTGAGTTAGCCTCGAGCTGGCTACCTGGGACTGAACCTCAGTTGCCAGTAGAGTTTTGGCTGCAGTACTGCAGTTTAGCCACTGCCACCACAAGGCTCGGTAGAATAAGGACCCCAATACTTGCCGGAACGCCTCCTCCCACCTAGATCTCATATCACCCAATCTAGCCAGGAAGGGCGACTGAGGAGCCTAATGCCGAGGGAGGCCCGGAAAGAAAAAACATAACACCGGGCCTTCTCGGCAGTGGCTCCCAGGCTCTGGAACATGCTCCCCCCCCGAGATTCGTCTGGCCTTCCCTCCGGACACTATGTAATTTTCTTTATTCTGTTTTTATGTTAATGTTGGAATCTGTTATTTAATAATTGTTTTTATTGTGTGTTTTGTGAGCCGCCCGGAGTAGACTATGTCTAAATGGGTGGCATATAAGCTCAATAAATAAATATGGACTGGGCTTTAAGTGGTTTTTTGAACAGGATGATAGTGAGTGTGATTGTTTTTCATTCACATGTTTTATAACTGTACGCCTGCACATAAGGACAAACAGATCTTTTCACGTTATTGCTTTTTCCAGCAAAATCAAGGTGCTGTATGTGAAACTTTTTCTCTTTGCTTTATTCTCATGGCAAATCTGAAGGGCGGCAGTCTGAAAGAGAGCGATTAGCTCAATGTCACCCAGTGAATTTAGTAAACCAGTCAGGGGATTCAAACCCAGGTCTTTCAAGTGTCAGCCCACTAACTTCTACAGCCACATTGTTAGGGATTTCTGAATGCGGTCCAGCATTTCTGATAATTCTGGAAGTTTTTCCAACTCCCAGATAAGGAAGGATAGTTCAAACCGTATTCTGTTAAGTCTTTGAGGTGAATGCAGCTTCTGCTTGGCAAAAGATGCAGCAGTTCAGTCTCTGCTTCTCATGAAATCTGAAGTTGTGAGTGTGCATGTGCAAAATAAACGCTTCTGCTTGGCAAAAGATGCAGCAGTTCAATCTCCGTTTCTCATGAAATCTGAAGTTGTAAGTGTGCATGTTCCTAAAAGATTTTGCACACACTAAGTAGCACACTAAATCTGTACACAGCTGTATTTATGGTGAATGGTGCATAACGAAGGGGACTTCCCTGACAACGTGTGATGACATTCTAGGTGAAGTCACCTTTCTGCCTTTTGCCAATGGATAGCACATTCTGCTATTGATTTCCGACCGTACGCTGGCCACAGAAGACTGTAACAGTGTAGGAATTTCTGTGGTGAGTCAGAATCCCTTAGGAGGGTAAGCCATCATCACAATAATCGTGTCATCAAGTCAATTCTGACTTACACTGCTCAGAAGAGGTTTTCCATTCCCTTCTGGGGGTGCTCTGGGACTGGCGGTACTGATAGGAGGCCCAGTGGGGAATCAAAACTCCCAGCCACCGGCTCTGCAACCAGATGCCTAAACCGCTGAACTATCCAGCCGTACTCAGTCCAAAATATCCTTGAATTCTGCTTGGGAAAGTTGCTTTCTTGGACGAAACAGGTGAAAGAAAAGCTGAACTCGAATGCAGTTTGGAAGTTACTTTTATAGACTACAACTCCAAGAACTCCCCAGGCCACCCCTAGCTAATGAATGGCCTTGCTGCTCTGGGTATTCTGGAAGTTGAATTCCATTAAAATAGCTTCTAAACTGTGCTCTGGTTCCTTTCTCTCCTTTCCTTTTAACCTGGGTAACCGTTTGTAATGGAAGGACTATATCTGGCAGATGTTAAGGCCGCAATAAGAGTGTGATTCATCCTTTATGGGTAGGGCTTGGTTTTCATTGATTATTTCAAGATACATTTATCATCGCAAAGCCATGGTTCAAGAGTCACAAAGGCAAATAATAGAAAACAACCCAGCATTGGCCCTAAATAATTCTAGGTGCTAGGAATTGAGCTGATGAACAAAATGATGAACAAACATTGTTGGCAGAAGACTTAAATTCCTTGTCCATTGTGTACTGTTGGCGGGTAGTGCATCCCCTCCCATTCTGTTCTTTGTCAGGGTGGTGAAAGAAAAAAACACACAAACCCTTTAAAGACTAACAGTTTTATACTGGTGTGTGTTTCTGTGGATCGAAACCCACTTCATCACACATTTTTGTTCCTTTGTAATAGAAACTTCCTATCTCAGCCAACTGTTTCCAGCCGTCATCATTACTACCATTTATTCTCCTATCAACTCTTTGTATTTTGAAATGCCAAAGTTACTTTTTAGGGAATCTGTGACCTTCCACATTTTCTTGGTTTCTCTGCCATGGGCTTTGGTGGCTGGGGCAGATGGGAGCTGTTGGGCTGCAGGTGACCAGTTCATGGTAGGCCAGGCAGTCTCTGGAATACAGTACTGTACTAGAGTGTCCATATCTTGGTGTTAGCATCCAAGAAGATGATAGATCTGGCAGCTAAGGTCTAAACAGGCAGGAAAACAGCAAGGTGCATTAAGTTTGGACAAGATGAGGGGCAATCATGATTATTATTTTTTTCATTTACCGTATATACTCGAGTACAGTATAAGGCGACCTGAATATAAGCTGAGGCTTTTTTTCATTTACCGTATATACTCGAGTATAAGGCGACCTGAATATAAGCCGAGGCAATCAATTTTACCACCAAAAAAAATGGAACTTATTGACTCGAGTATAAGCCGAGGATGGAAAATGCAGCAGCAAGTGGTAAATTTCAAAAATAAAAATAGATACCAACAAAATTACATTAATCGAGGCATCAGTAGGTTAAACGTTTTTGAAGATACTGCCCTTCTGAGCTGCAAGGCAAACTGCACTGCCTGCGGAGGGAGGACTCATACCAGATGCTGCGCTTATCTACTGCTCTACTGCTGCATAACAAGATGGAGGGAGACAGAGGATGGAGGAGGAAGGTGTGAAGAGGAAGGTGGGTACATAGAATATGCAGAAGGAGGAAGATGGGAGTGTCCAGGAAGCGGAAATGCAGTGTACTTAACCCAGGTCATCGGACCACCCATAGAGGCTGCAGATGCCCGTAGGTGAGCGGGGGAGTCTGGAGA